AAAAAAACTGGGCCAAGATGCCTGATGAATACAGATGCAAAAATTCTCAATAAAATAGCAGGAAACCACATTCAGCAGCACATTAGAAGACTCATTCACTGTGACCAGGATGCAAGGATGGTTCAACATACACAAATCAATGTGATATAGCACATTAATAGAACAGAAAAAATCACGTGGTCATCTCAACAGATACAGAGAAAAAGCCTTTGACAAAATTCCACATCATTCATCATAAAAAATTCTTAACAAACTAGGTACAGGAAATCCTGCCATTTGCAACATGGGTGGACCTTGAGGGCATGACACTGGAGTGAAATAAGTTGAGAAAGACAAATACTGGGTGATTTCACTTATAAGTGGAATCTAAAAATAAAAGTGGTAACATAGAAAAAAAGTTCAGATTTGTGGTTAGCAGAGGAGGTTGGGGAGGATATTGGATGCAGGTAGTCAAAACGTACAAACTTCCTGTTATATGATAAGTAACAGGGATATAATATACAAAATGATGACTGTAGCTGACACTGCTGTGTGATATATGCACAAGTTGTTGAGAGAGGAAACCCTAAGAGTTCTCATCACAGAAAAAAAACATTTTTTTTTCAATCTGTGAGATGATAGATGTGAACTACACATATGGTGGTAATCATTTCACAATACATGTAAGTCAGATCATGATGCTATACACCTCCGATTGACACAGCACTGTTTATCAGCTACATCTCAATAAATGTGGGGAAAAACACAGAGGGGAAAGACTGATGTCTTGAAAGTGAACCCTGCCCAGCCAGGGGGGCAGGACTGGAAGCAGCGGTCCCTGCCTACTTATATTTTTAAAGGATGGTTGTACATTTATATAAACTTTGTATCATTTAGAAGCAGCAGTCTGCAGATATTAAAGTTGTAGCATTAAAATACTCACCATTTTGAGATAAAAGGAAGGTTAGCCCTTTCCCTGGAGATTTAAAATTCATCTTGGAGGCTCTCCTGTCGCTTACAGATGTCTTGACCTTGGGCTTTTACATGTAAAAGAATCATAAAGCAAAATGTGGCTTCTGTGTCATGGGCTAAAGCTAGTTTTATACATTATACATAATTAGAAAATTATTAATGAGACCGTTAGTTATTAATGAGGCTGACTGGACTATTTTTAACCTGCATATTTGCCCTATTAAGGAAGTGAGTAACAGAGCTGTTGTGTCTACTGAAAGGCTCCCCCACCACTGCCCCCCGCCCAGAGGCCAAAGATCAGAACACCTCCCCTGGATCTGCTGGGAAAGTGTTTATTAATCTATTAATACCTTTAATTACCAGATACATGCTGTTTACTCCCACGTTTCTGATCTCACCCTTGAACTCCAGGCTGTCTCCAGCTGTCACTTGCTGTCACCACTTGGATGTCTAATCAGGCACCTTCAGTCTAATAGGTCCAAAACCAACCCCTTAATTTTGCCCCCAAAACTCATCTCCGCAGACCCCCGTCTTCCCCTTGCGATAAACAGCAGCTCTGTCCTTCTGAAAATGCACAGGCTGAAAATCTGAGTCATCTTTGCCTTCTCCCTTCCCTCTCGAACCCCACAGCCTTCAAAATACCTCCAGACATTCCCAGAGCTTCCTACGAAAGTGTCAACAGCAAAGCCCTTGTGAGCCCACATCCAGCCCTCTGCCTGGGGCCCCAGCTCACTCAGCATGAGAGCCAGGCCCTCGCGACGGCCGGGTGCCCTCCCGGCTGCTCCGTTCATCGTCCTGGGCCACCAGGCCACCATGCTCCCTGCCAGCAACCCAGACGTGCTCACGCCTCCGGGGCCTGTGCACGGGCTGAGACCCCGGTCTCATCCTCGCATCCCACAGGTGTCACTCCGCCAGAGGCCCTCCCCTCGCCGCCCCACCCTGTCCCTCCGTCTCCATCGCTGATCCCCCCGACATGTAAACAAACAGCGCTGCAGAAACAGCTGTCCATTTTGGAGCCGAAATGCCTGCGAACAAACCCCGCTCCCCCACCTACCAGGTCTGTGACGGTGGGCAACCTACTAGACCTCTCTGTGCCTTGGTTCCCACCTGGAGCCGTCGTGGCACCTACAGGTCGTCTGGGCATGAAACGAGCTGACCCCCAGGCAGTGCGTGGCCCCTGCCAAACACCCCCTGGGCGCCCACTCTTCTGTCTGTCCTGTGTCACCACCTCCCTCTTCCCCACGGGTTTCTGTCCTGCCGGGTCCCTGGCACACAGACGTGTCCTCGTCACACAGGGGGTGCCCAACAGTGGTTGACACTACAGCCGTGGAGCTCGTTTTCCACGGTGAGCCGCAAACACCAACCTCTGATTTACTCATTTTGCCGATAGCGAGCAAGAGGCCTAACTTGCTTGAAGCCGACTCGTTGCTGCCACACTGTACCTCAGACTCCGGGCTGGTCACTGCGCTTGCGCTCCTGTTCTGGGTGTTCTGGTCAAGCATAAACACACAAGAGGGTCTCTGGTTTCCACGGAGATACACACACACACACACACAATGATTTAAGGCAGTATAACTTGATACACTGTAAACGACACACAGCGCATCACGAGGATGTGTTCTGACGCGTCTGCACCTGGGAAAGGGTCACCTGAGACAGCGCACCCGTCACCCTGAGCTTCCGTGCCCCTTGGTGCCCCACCCCCTTCCCCCATCCTCAGGCATCCAATGCTTCCTGGCACCACAGCTCACTCTGCACTTGCCAGAATTTTAGATCACTGGAGGCACAGCAGTGTGCATCCTTCTCTGTCTGGCTTCCTTCCCCCAGCCTCATTGTTTTAATCCATCCATGCTGTTGTGCGTGTCACGAGTTATTTCACCCTGGCTCATCCTCCACTGCATGGTTGTCATCGGACTTGTTTATCCTGGTGGGTGTCGGAGGCCAGACTGAAAACCAGAAGCGAACTTGACTGGGTGGCTTCCGAGTGTCCCCTGACTGGAGTGTCTGTGCGTGCTTCCTGGGGCCTGTGCTGCTGGCACGAAATCATGGATGAGTTTAGGGTGGGTGACCATCTGTATGTGGGAAGCAGTGCTGAAGCTGAACCTGAAGCTCTCCCCACACAAGGCGTCCAAGGCACATCCCAGGACTCATGGTCAGAGTAGCTCCTTAGACAGCAAACAGCAAGGATGTCCCTTGAGCAAGCAGCTCCAGGGAGCTGCCCAGCCGAGGATTTCCACTGGCCCCCAACGCTCTCCCTTGTGGCTCCAAATGAATGGCTCAGAAATCAGAAATCCTTCTAGCCCACGAACCTGAAACCCCGCTCGATCTGATGCAGCGGCCAGATCTTTCGGTAAGTGGCCCAGGGCGTCCCAGCTCCTCTGGAGGCCTCGCTGTGAAGCTCCAGGTCTGGACCTGCCCAGCACCCTGCACACACTCAGGAGCTGTTCCTTGGCATCTGTGCCCTGGGACAGGCATTCCACTCTTGTAAACACGAGATCACATGATGAAACATCTCGTCACAAAACGCCTCAGATGCTGTGTGCCTTGTGGTCCAGCCAGTGGACCCCCACCCCCAGCGTGTGGGAAGGCACAGATCTCCACCATCGTGGCCAGGAGCCTGCTTCCTGGGTCATGACCCAGAAACACGTTCCCTAACTTAGAAAAGAAGGACAATACACCCTTTTCAGAATGTGAAAAAAAAGTCTTAAATTATTTCTTAAGTCTTGAGTTATTTCTTGAAGGGTTACAAAAGCCCCAGGGAGTTTTGATGACGGCTGAACCACTCCAGAATAAAACCACCCCTTACTCTGTAAATTCTAAGACGTTATCTGTTACCTGATTTGTCATCATGTAAGTGCTTCCAAATTTGTTTCCAGAGATGTCATCGTTTGGAAAATTTAAACAGGATTTAGTCGTTTGGTCAGGAACAGAGATGTGTGCGAAGCATAACAGAGCTTCGAAGAATTCCAGGAAAACCAGCTGAAAGGTAAGAAAACATAAAGGGTCTCCCATTCACCCTGACCCACCTCGAGGTGGACCAGCGAAGAGTCTGAGCGTCTGGCTCGATTCCCCGCGAAGTACCACGTCGTTCAGCGCTCAAGCATCTTGGGTGCTCAGCAGTTTGCAACAGAACTAGAGCATTTAAAAGACCGACTGGGACATAAGTGCTTTTGTGAGGCTTGTAAGTCATCTTCCTTTTTGATAGAAACATTTTATTTATATTAGCTAAGTGAGGACCGTCACTTTCAAAGGTTTTCCTTTTATGCTGAAAAACTAGAAGAAGCGGCATCTGTAAACCCAGGTGACAAGTGCAAGTGTTCCCCTCGGCCACCACAGCCCCGCCATCTGTGAGCGCCGACACGCGGGCCCGCCTCTGCGTGGGACAGCCTGCTCGGACTCGGACCGTCCCCCTGAGGTCACTGTCAGGCCTGAACCCAGGGCCCTTTGGAGTCTGAGCCGGAACAGGCCTGCTACTTTGACCAGAGGCTCCAGGCCGGCCTCTGCCTGTTCCCGGGGGTCTGTTCGGCATCCCTGCAGCCCAATGTCCTTGGCCCAGCAGTTTGCAGAGAACCGCCGGATGATGGGTCAGGCTGGTAAAATGAGACATGTGTTTAGGACGAGAGGAGGTGGCTGGGATGTAGCTGTTACATTAACACACAGGCCAGTGAGTCCCTGCGCTACCCAGGGACCAGCTGTCACTGCCTTGCGGTGACACTAACCATCCGTTAGCAGTGTGCCCCACAGCAAGGTTTTCAATTGTTTTCTTATTAGCTGTTCTGCTTGTGTTTTTTCTGCATCTTTCTCTCCCGGGAGGGAGTGAACCTTCAAGAGATGCCAGACCACCTGGCCCCGGAGAGGTTCGTAAATGTCAGATGAGTAGAGAGTTCCCTTAGATTTGCAGCTCTGGGCTGCTCTTTGTGTCCCAGCTTAGGATCTTGCCTGACAGCTTGAGAAGGTCAGCCTAAAGCTTTCGTTCAAGCTGAAGTTTGGATTAGAGGTCAACAAGGGAACTTCAACGACCAGGGTCGTGAGGGGGAGGAGGGCGGGTGTGCCGGGGACAGCGTGGAGGCAGGTGCAACGCTGGTCCAGGGTTGATGCTGGAGAGGCTAAGCCCTCTGGAAATGCTGGGATCACGGGAACGTATCTTGTACATACATCAGGAGGACATGAATTGCGGGGGCACGTGTGGAAAGAGAAGACTGTTAGGGGTTGAATTGCATCTCCCCAAAAACGCTAGAGTCCTAACCCCCAGTGTCCTCAGACTTACAGATAACCAAGTTATTAGGGTCGGCCCTAGTCAACATGGCTGCTGTTCTTGAAGAGGGAAATGTGGACCCAGAGACAGAAGCACAGAGAGAAGACGTGAGAAGGCAACAGCCAAGGAGAGAGGCCTGGAGCAGACCCTCCACCAGCCTTCAGAAGGAGCCAACTCCGCCAACACTTTGATTTCTGACTACCAGCCTTCCGAACTATGGGCAAGAAATAAGTTATTTAAGCCAGAAAATGGGGGTTGGGGGTAACAAGTTCAACGTTCCGAGGTAGGTGTGTGGTGGGTGTGTTCAGGGAATAGCAGAGGCAGGTGTGACCCAGAGGTGGGCGTGCTGGCACCACAGGTGCCAGTCCGATCTTGGTCCTTGGTATCCAAGGCAAAACCAACAGCCTGCGTTGGATCTGTGCCATCTGTGCCACCTCTGTACAAACCTCAAGTTCAAAGTTGCTGTCAATTCCGTCATGCATGAAAGGATTATCCTCTGCTATGACCTCCACAAATTTGGTTGCTGTTAATTCTTTATTGATCATTTTGAAGTTCTGTAAAAGAAGCAACCAGTCAAACCATAACAGCCGATAATTACAAACAGCTGTATATTTAGAACGTCAGTTTCTCTTCATACGACACCTTAAGGAGATGTTCTAGAAATGAATATCTTAAAACCTGAGCAGCATTCGGGATTAACATGGGTACTTACCTCTCTACTCCTCCCCTCATCCCTCTAAGACAACAGTCAGGATTCTTTGTGGGCACAAATGTAGGGCAGAAAGAATGGGAGAGCACATGACCCTGACGTGAGATAACTCAGTTCTCCAGGTGGGAGGGCACAAGGGCTGGCGGGCTTAGTGGAGCAGGGAACAGAGAGCCCCGGGGAACAGGAGGCAAGTCAGGTCCGGGAGGAACTCAGGAAGGAGGCACCTCTGAAAGCCACGCTCCGGGAAGACTCACAGGAAGTCTTGGTGAAGACCCTTTCCACATGGAAACTGAAAACAGTGAGTTTACTGTCGGCAGCATTTGGCTCCCCTGAAGTCACAGTGCGGCTGACCACGAGGATCAGGTTAAAGTGCACCTTGGCAGGGCCCTCCCTCCACTCCGCCCTCAGAACTGTACAAACTGGGTTCGTATCCCCCAGGCAGGGCGTAGGAGAAATCCTCTCTTAGAAGATTGAACATTTGAGAGTAAAGATCTGACGAAAACCGACAGTTGGCTGAGGAGGAGAGAGCGGAGCTCGGTCGCTCCACAGCGAAACCCAATCTTTGACAAGTGCCACTCCATCCACAGGAGCTTCCCATCGGCCACGGTCCTGTCTATAAGTGGACAGACAAGGCTCACCACACGTTGTAGGGAAAGCTTTAATATAAAAGCCAGAGAACAGAACCAGCAGGGGTTGGGGGGGAGACCAGGACTTGGAGGGAACAGGTGCAATGTGAAGAGCAGAGAAGAAAGTTCCATTTAGCGCCCCTTCCCCCAAATCCTTCACTTCCTCAGTGGCTTCCAGTAAATCTCAGAGTCTCACAACATACTCAACTGTTCAGGTTTCAGTAGAAAATCACTGACTCATGATGCCAAGAACCAGGAAGATCTCAAATTGAGATGCTGCATGAACAAAGATGCCAACACCAAGATGACAGAGATCATAGAATGAACAAAGATTTTAATTAAAATGCCATTACAAACATGCTTGTAACAAACAGAGAAAAAGGAGACTCAGCAAATGAATAGAAGAAATACAGAGCCAAATGGAAACTTTAGAGCTGAAAACTGTAATAATTAAACTAAAAACTCAATAGATGGGCCCAACAGCATAAAGGGACAGTGAACTTGAAAATGGAATAATAGGGGGGAGGGTATAGCTCAGTGGTACAGCATGTGCTTAGCATGTATGAGGTCCTGAGTTCAATCCCCAGTACCTCCTCTAAAAATAAAAAACTTAATTACCTCCCCCCACCACCAAAATAAAATAAGTAAATAATACAATAATAAATAATTTTTTAAAAAAGAAAATGGAATAGAAATTATCCAGTCTGAACAACAGCGGAAGATTAGACTGAAAAAAAATTAAATAGAGATCCAGAGACCTGTAGGCCTATAATAAAAGATCTAACATTCATGTTATCAGAATCACAGAGGGAAAGGAGAGAGAAGGTGGGGTTGAAAAAGTACATGAATAAATAACGGCTGAAACCTTCTTAAACTTGGTAAAAACACAAACCTACAGACCTAAGAATTTGAATGCACCTCACACAGGATAAACCCAAAAAATTCACATCAAGTTACAGAATAGTCAAACTTCTGAAAACTAAAGATGAAGGGAAAATCTTGACCTTCCTACAGTGGGAAACATTCACATGACAGCAGACTTCTCCTCAGGAACCATGGGGACCAGAAGAGAGTGGCACCGCATTGTTCAAGCCATGAGAGAGGACTATCAACTCAGAATCCTCCAGCCAGGAAAATACCCTTCAGGCACGAAGGGCAATTCAAGACATTCTCAGATGAAGGCAAACTAAGAATTTATTGCTAGCAGACCCACCTTAAAAGGATGGCTGAAGGAAGTTGTCTAAATAGAAAGGAAAAGATAAAGAATCTAGGAACTTCAGGAAGGAAGGAAGAACAAGGTAAGCAAAAATATGGGCAAGTACAATATACTCTCCTTTTCCTCTTGAGTTTCACAATTGTGTTTGGCAGTTGAAGCAAACACAACTTGTAATTATAGCACTGTTGGATGTGGTTGTAAATAAATGTAGAGGAAATACCAATTATATTATAAATGGTAGGGTGTAAAGAGATGTAAAGGGAAGTAAGGTTTCTATACTCCACTCAAATTTGTCAAATGATGACACTGTCAGACTGATAAGTCTAATATATTTATAGATAAATACTCAAAAAAACATTATTAGATCAAAATGAAATTCTAAAAAATAAGTAATCCACAGGAAGGAAAAGCAAACAGAAAAGGGAGAACAAACAGAACAAAAATTTAAATGACTAATTTACACATAACATATAAATTATATGAAATGTACATGGTCTAAATATGCCAATTAAAAGACAGATACTGGCAGCTATTGCTGGTGGGACTATAAAATGGGCCACCCACTCTGAAAAATTTGGCAGTTTTTTAAAATTAAGTAACTACTCATTCTCTAATTCAGCGATTGCAATCTAGGCATTTATCCCAGAGAAATCAAAACTGTCCACAGAAAAGCTTGTACAGTTATTCATATTATTTTTAATTTTTTTTGTTTTTGTTTTTTTGTTTTTTTCTTTTTTTCTGTTCATACTATTGTTATTCATTACAGCCAGAAACTGTAAATAACCCAAATGTCCATGGATTAGATGGATAAATAAATCATTGTGGTATATCCATCACATGGAATACTACACAGCAGTAACAAAGAACAAATTGTTTATACATACAACAACATGAATGAATCTCAAAATAATTATGCTGAAAGAAGCTACACAGAGAAAACAGAGAAAAGAGATACAGAAGATACAGCATTATAAAGTCTAAAATATTTTAGCTAGTGTCCCAGAGTGAAAAAATGGTTCTGAAGTAATGGTTAAAGAAGTAATAGTGGAATTTTCTTCAAAACTGATGAACAACATCAATCCATAGATTCAAGGTAACAGGTGCCAAGTTGAAGAGATTCTTACTGGCCAAATATGGGACAGTCTGACCATGGGTCTTGGGGTGGGTTGGGCTGGAGGAGAGACTGCAATGGATTCAAACACATCATGTGTATAATGATATTTCAAAAGCTCATTAATCACCTTTGAAGAATTGCTAGGATATCAACTTAGTATTCTGAGAATTAATAAAGGGGAAAACTGAGCATTTATCCTTCTTTTCCTGTATATTTCAGAGTAATTAAATAGCCAATAAAATAAACTTGTTCTTTAAGTGGGATTCACAGCTAATAAATGCAGGCAGAATGATAGAATTAAAAAATTACTCCTGAGGGACTCTTAAGGAAATAATGTAGTTAGTTATGACTATCAGGGCTGCTCGAACCACCAGTGAAAGGCTGACGGGGAACGTTGTAATGGAAGGACCCTGCTGACACCATGCGCCCCACCGGTCAGTCTCAGCCTCACTGCTGCGTGCATCCCTGCTGCGACACGACAGGAATTAACCAGAACCACCCTGAGCCTTGTCCGAAAAAAATGAACCAAAACAAGGCAAACCCTGAACCTCATCACGCTCGTATTCTAACGACCACTTTCATGGAATTATGCGGGAAAAAGGAACACCTGTCATCAGCCCTCGGAGGACGCAGCCAGCCAAAACCGGATGTCTGAGCAATCAATCTACAGGGACAAAGGGCCTCATCTCTTCAATAATAAGGGACCACAAAGAAGGGGGAAAGTGAATAAATAAACTGTATAATATTCCATCTAAAAAGAAAATCATATACTTTAAAAACACTTTTCCTATTGATACTAATTTTTTGTATATATATGACATTTAAAATTTTAAGTCAGGTTTTCATATATATATATATATATATATAGTGCTTATATATATATATATAGCACTAGAGACTTTTATAATCACTCTATCCCTTATTAGTACTCAATTCTTTTAGTTTTCTCATTGATTTTCCCACAAATATAAATTAAAAGTATCATGAAAGAAAAACTACAGGAGTATGAGAATATCCTATAAATTAGATGTTCTCACTGTTTTCTAAACTGACAACTATTTTAAATTACTTTTTTGATGAATAATAGTTTTTTAAGTGGCATTCATCCCCCCATCTTCCTTTAAATGACAAGATCTGCATGAGTGAAGATGCGAGAGGCCTGCCGCCCCTGCCCCTCCCCTCCCCTCCCCAGGAAGCGTGCTGGGCAGGTGGTCCTCCTGTCTCTCTTCCTGCCACTGTCACAGACCACTGGAAGTTCTCTCTCGTGCTGATGGCTATGAAAGTTCATCCCAGACCTCCACCTCGTTTGCTGCGTATCATAGCCAGACCTCTCTGCCTTTCCTAAGTTAAAATCAAAATGCCTGTGACTATCAAACGGGTATCCGCCATGAGTGGCCACCTTCAGCATCCAGAGGAAGTGTCTCATCTTCATGGTCAGCTCGTAGGGAGGAGCTGCACTGGGTCTGCAGTAAACCGTATAGATCTCCCAGCACTTTTCGATGTAATTCATTGAATAGAGCGTCCGCTGCACCTCACAGAATAAGTGGCCTAAAAAGGTAATGAAAAAAATACATCATTCCAGTGGGGAGCGGATGACTCAAATAGTAAAGCACATGCTTAGCATGCATGAGGTCCTGGGTTCAATCCCCAGTACTTCTTCTAAAATATAAATAAGCCTGATTACCTTCCCCCCAGGAAAAAAAATTTTAAAAAAAGAAAAATACATCATTCCAAAAATGATTACAGAATGTATCTTGGAAAGAATGATGTAAAGGTAAGCCTATTGGTTTTGTATTTACCTTTGACGTGGCAGGCATTTGGATGAATGTTCTCAGTCATCAGTTTTGTAAAACACAGAAAGAGCAATGGGCTTCTGTTCCTGTGATTAAAAAGATATCAAAATCACTTCTCCCTCCAGGAGCAGGAACCTAGTTCCTCCCTCCTTCAGGATGGACTTAGTAACTGGCTTCTAATAAGCAGAGTATAGAAAAGGGGAAAAGAGTAAGTTTGCCACAGAGAAACCTGGCTGACACCGCTTTGACCTAGTGATCAGGGTTGATGTCACGCACCCCTGATTTGATGATATTCTTCCTCCAAACCCATAACCTCAGTGTAATGATGAGAAAAATCAGTAAACCAAAATCAAGGGGCATTTATAAAATAACTGACCAGTATTCTTCAAAAGTTTCAAGGTCATAAAAGACAAGGAAACTGTCGCAGGTTCTAGGGAACCAAGGAAATTATTAAATGCAAGATGGGATTTCTGGACTCACTCTTGGAACAGAAAAGGGACGTCAGTGGAAAACCTCGGGAAATCCCAGTGAGATCTGTCACTTAGGTAGTGGTGTTGTAGCAATGTTAAGTCCTTAATTTTGGTAAGTGTGCCCTGGTTGTGTAAGATGTTATCACTAGGGGAAGCGTGGGTATCTAGGTACTCTGTGTACTAACTTGGCAAAATCCTGTAAATCCAAAATTATTTCAAAAGAAAGTTTTTTTGGGGGGGGGAGGGTATAGCTCATGGTAGAGCACATGCTTAGCATGCACGAGGTCCTGGGTTCAGTCCCCAGTGCCTCCATTAATAAATTAACAAATAAATAGCCCTAATTACTCTCCTCCCCCCAAAAAAGTTGTTGATTTTTTTTTCGTTTTTTTTTGAAAAAGATACAATATCAATTTTGCTCTGAGAAAGACGGGAAATTCTGGTCTAAGGAAGAGTTGGTTGTGACTACTTCTGAACAAAACCTTGAGGATGTTATTTGCAGAAATGAAACATGACCCACATCTGAAGGGTTTTCACATTTTTAATCTGGTTTCTTACAAGGTTTTTCTGTGGTTAATGTTTGTGGGAAACTTATATCTAACCTTTTATCTCAAGAGTGTGAAAAATAATCATGAATGTCGGAGAAAAGAGGACAGCATTGTGACCATCACGATGGTTACCTCAGCCCACATCCCCTCGCGGGGCCCAGGCGGAGTACCTACTGGTATTCTTTGTGATGAATGTGGAACGCCAACTGCAGGAGAGAATTCAGAAATGTCCTCAGAAGTATTGTTGTAAATGGAGAATGAATTTCTTCAACTGGTATGTCATTATTGGCTATAATAAGAAAAGAGGAGAGGATGCCCAGTAGTTTCTAGAACTTTCTATCTCATTTGCTTCCTGGTGCACAATCCAAAGAACTGAATACAGCGGAGTACTGTTTTCCTCCCCGGAGGACACTGTAACAGTAGGTAAGCATCCACCTAAAAATTAACTTCCGTGCGAAAGGTCTCCATCTGGTTGCTTTTCAAGAAACAGATGAGGTTCCTTGTCCCGGTGTTTTTCAAAGTGATCTGAGCCACAATCTGATTAATCCTGCTAATCTTAAATGAGCTTCAAACACTTAAATTTGAAATAAATTGGTATGTGTTCTAGTATTTTATTTTTTAAGTAGATGACTTGAGACCCTCAGTCCTGCCTCCCAGAATTCGGCTGAAAGGGGTAAAATCTTCAAAGTTGTTCAACTTGTATTGCGTGACTTTTAAACTGGAAACCAAGACCACACCCGAGATTACCTAAAGCCTTTCCCAAACCTTCCCTGATCCTCTCGGCTTCTGACCTGACAATGTGGTGTTTGGGTATCTTTCACGATAGATCAGGGGTAGGAAAACCTCTCTGTAAAGAGCCAGATGGTAAATATTTTAGGCTTCGTGAGCCGGGCAGGCTCTGCCACAACCACTCAGCTCCCAGGCTGTGGGACAAAAGCAGCCACAGGCAAGATGTAAAAACATGAGCATAGCTGTGTTCCAATAAAACTTTATTTACAAGAACAGGTGGCGGGCGGGATTTGGCCCACGAGTCTACTTTGCTGACCTGCTACAGGCAGTCTTTTTACTGTTGCTGTTGTTTCACAAGATTGTCGCCTCACTTTGGGAACAAGACTGTATTTTGATTTCTAGGATACTCTCCCGGCATCTGCCCTCCTCACTCCCTCAGCATTTTTGACTGGTTTCATGGTGATGGGGTGTCATACTGCTCTTTAAGCCAAAAGGTGTGGGAAGCTGGGGTACTCACCACTCAGTACCCTGTCCATATCAGCAAGGGTTATTTTATGGTGATGAAATTTGCAATCTTTCAGAAACCTCCAGAAGTGAAGCTTTGTCATCAAAAAGGTGTTATCCAGGGAGCAGCTACATCCTAGGCTGCTGTAAAAGCTATAGATTCTTCTTAACTCGGTGATATTTCTTAAGATAGCATATTCTACCTGAAAAGAGAAAACCATACGTATCTTAATGTCACCTAACAAGAAAAAAGAAAACCTCTTTTCTAAATTAAATGAGGTAACACATGCAATAGCATTTACCTCTTATCACTGTAAGGGCTCAATAAATGTCATATTCTCCCCACCACCCTCAGGTCAAGGAAATGGAATTTCTGATTAACAGTAAAAAGACGTGCTGTTAGACTCAGAGACACAGAAAGCAAACTTGTGGTTCCCAGGGGGGAAAGGGGGTAAGAAGGGATAAATTGGGAATTCGAGGTGTGCAGATACCAACTACTATATATAAAATAAACAAGTTGCTACTGTATAGCACATGGAACTATATTCAATATCTTACAGTAACCTGTAATGAAAAAGAATATGAAAAGGAATGTATGTTTGTACATGTATGACTGAAGCATTATGCTGTACACCAGAAACTGACACAACAGTGTCAACTGCCTATACATCAATAAAAAAAAAAAAAGAGGTGGAGGGTACAGCTCAGTGGCTTAGCACCCACAAGGTTCTGCGTTCAATCCCTAGTGCCGCCATTAAATAAATAAATAAATAAATAAAGCTAATTACCCCCACAATAAATAAACACCAAAACCTTTTAATTAAAAAAAAACTGATGTTAAAAATAAATAAATAAAAAGATATTATGCTAAAAGGAAAAAGAGATGCTATTACTTTCATACTACTGTGACATCATCCTATCTGAACGGCAGCAATAAAATTCTCTCGTCTGCAGATCAGTATCCTTCATGGACACAGACACAAAAATCCTCGATGAGATACTAGCAGACTGAATGCAGCAATCGATAAAAAGAATAATACATCAACACAAGCGGGGTTCATCCTGCAACTGCAAGGCTGGTTCAGCATCTGGAAACTCAGTGTAATCCATCCCAGGGAGAGGCTGGAGAAGAAAAACCACACGACCTACCACTGCGTTTGACAGAATTTAACATCCAATCACGATAAACGCCCTTAGCAAATCAGGGATAGAAAGGAACTCCTTAACCTGATCAACGGCTACACAAAAACATACAACACTCCCTTAATGCTACGTCTCTGAAATAGGCAGCATGCACACTCATTGCTTTACTCACCTCCCTCTGTCCCCATCACCTTCTAGTACTTTTCCTGGGCCCTCAATGGCCTTAAGCTGCCCCCAGATTCCTCAGACATGCAACCCGGCAGCCTACACATTGTCCTGTTCTCCAAAACCTCATGCCGCAGGTGTCCCCCTCCCAAAGGAAAAATTCAGAAAATGTGGATGAACAGAATTTGGATCCCCACGGAGACAGGAAAGTCCCAGCTGGGCAGCTGCATCAGGCACCTGTCACTCTAACATTAACTCCTGCTTTTTACAATTCAATTCAGTGGGATAAACATGTATCATCTGCCTTACCTAAAGCATTGCTCCAGAGCAGAACACAGAATTTTCTTCCAGAGGCTTAAAATCTAGTGAAGAATGCAAGACGTAGACACAGGAAGTCTCGTGACAGAACAGAGCCACGGAGGAAGGAGAGATGGATTCAAGGAAGAAGCCCCCACAGGGCGCTGTACTTGAACTGAGCCTTGGAGGATGGAAAAATGAGCCATGATTGGCGGGAGCCGGCCCCCAAGTGGTGGTCGGGCCAGGAAGTGGACGGGATGGGCTGGTCCAGGGATGCCGGTGGGGCTGTGTGACCTGGAGCAAGGCTGTTACCTTGCTCTCTCGGCAGGCTCCCTCAAGTGCAAAGTGAATCAACCACAGTTCCAGCCCGAGGCTGCAGGTGGGGTTCGGAGAAGTGAAGGCTTCAGACCCACTCCTGGAGCTCAGGGCTCCATTTCCATGTGCCTGGTCAGGAGGGGGGCGCCGATGAGGCCAGGTCAGAAAGAGATGGGTTGACAGCAGAGCCTAGAAAGCCCTGAAACCAGGAACATGGAATTAACAGCAACGGCAGCTGTCTGGATGAGAGAGGATCTCTCTCGAAGGCTGCAGGCTTGCGTGAGCTTGTCTGGACTGAAACACCAGTAAATGCAGAACCCCTGCTCAAAAAAATGACACCCACATTTTGACAAAATGATTCCAGTAGAAGACAATAAATACATATGACCGCAAGAAAACACTGGATAAACCTAAACTGAGGGACATTCTTCAGGAATAATAATAATTCTTCCTCTGCAAAAGTCTCAAGGTCATGAAAGACATGGCAAGACAGAGGAGCTGTCAGTTTGGAGGACATTAAAGGGACATTTGACGACTCCGTGCAGTGTGGAATCCTGGGACAGGAAAGGAGCATTATAAAATATTATATGGTCATTAAACATTTTTAAAGGTATTCCTGAAGTGTGGGATTACAGGATTCTTTCGATTTCTATGTCCTGTCTCTACAATGTTTGGATTTTCTGTAGAAGCATGTGCTGTTTTTCTAATTATAAAGCAATCAAGATATATTTTTTAAAACACAGGTTTTTTTAAGACCTATGTGTTTTGACATAGAAAGAACTCCAAAGTGGAAAATGAATCAGACAGATAATGTGATCTCTTCTGTTTTGGTAAATCAATATAAATGTTTCTTCATCTCAAAATGACATCGTAAAAGAGTATTTGACGGCAGTGAGTAGCTATCATTAAGCTCCCCACGAAAATAGAGATTGTATTAACAGAAGGAACCATTTCGAGACAGAATGCACAGAAAAAACTGGGAAGGTGCTCACAAGATTTTGTCTGGGTGGAGATTCTCTTTCTTAACTGCATTTTCTAAATTTTCTACAGGTGCTGAGTATTAATTTTGTAACTGGAAAAAGTGGTAAAGATTCCTATTTTTAACAAGAATCTTGCAGCAGATGAAGTGAGTGATACTAGAGGCCTGATTTACAGTGTTGACCAAGGGGACAGAAATGGGGAGGGTGGGGGATGGGCAGTCATCACTTCTAAGGCCCAAAGAACTAGGGGCCAGAGGAGGCAGCGATGAGGAAGGGAAAAGGGGCAAAGATGCTTTGTAGTTCTGAGGTACCGCTGGTCCTCCTACCACAAACAACATCCTCAACAACGGTTTCATCGAAGAATCATACCAAGCCCCCCCGACCCCATCAAAGCCGGGGGACATGATACTCAGGTGTAAATTGGTGGCAGTGATTTGACAGATGTTGATCAACTGCAGTCCAGCTACACATAATTTTTTCCATCTCTAAGTATTTCTAGATTTCTAATATTCTCTAAATTTCTGAAATTCTTTTGAATCCCAGCAGCCCATAACACACAGCAGAACAAATGACCTACAGAGCAGGGTGGCCACAGCCCTGGTCTTCAGACCAAGCGGGCTGGGATGGTGACTTGACTCTACGGGCTCTGGGTAATTCACTGAATCCCCCGATCCGGGCTTCCGTGTTCTCAGGGAGCCTGCTCACCCACAGGGTTGCCTCGTAAATTCAACATGATGACATAATCAGAGCATCTCTTGGGCGTTCAAAGAGACAATACACGACTGCAGTCATCAACTGTGTCTTCCCAGGACCATGGAGAGTCTGCTAATGTTCAAGCCTAAAATACACGTTTCTAACAACACAGAAGGCTTTTACCTGCTTCTTTTCTTCTGGCTGGTCTCTCTCAGGGAACATGTTCAGCACCAAGCTGAGATCCAGCTCAATGCTCAATCCTAACATGGAACTGCTTTCACTGCCATCAAGCTTTCTGATGATTTCTAGCAAATGAGGGAAAACATAGGGGGTACTTGTGAAAAGCAATGTTAAAATGCTTCAGCGTTATGTTAAAATAATTTTCCACAGAAGTGTGATACAAAAGTATTCAAAAACCTATAAGAAATCAGTAGCGCCCAGGAAACGTCCATTTCCTGAAATACTAGGTGCATCTGTGATGACGAGAGATCGTGGATGTGATACTTTGATTTGCCTTCAGCTGACAGGTGGACGCTCCCTACCGGTGCTGACGGAGGATCCGAGGGACTGGCTCCTGAGGCCAGGTTCTGAAGGCAGGTCCGGGTAACTTATCAATTCACCTTCAAGATCTGGAAACTCCGCTATGTGGTCATTGCAAAACGGACCATCATACACACGCCCATTCTTGAAAGTTAACCGGCCCTGCAGATAGAAAGGTAGCTTTTTGTACCTTAGGAAAATTCTTCTTAGGAAACCATTGGTAAATGTACATCAGTACCTTTTTCAAGGGTTTGGAGGCTTTGGTTTGTTAAGATCTGTGCTGAGTCCACATAGAATCAGGCTCCTGGGGTCTCAGGTCACCGTGTAAATCCTCGCTCCTCCTCCCAATTCCCCTTCTCTTCTCCTCCTCTCCTCTATCTGCCCCACAATCTCTCCCCAACTTTAAGCACCCCAAGATCACAGAGTGCAGCTTATTAAATATGCTAGTGGCCAGCAGAGTGCCTGTCACAGAATGGGGACTTTCTTGACATTTGTCAAACCCAGGCCAATAGTCAGTCTGACTCAGAGGTGGGCAAATGACCCAATTCAGCTCGGTGAAACTAAGGGCATTCATGGGAAACTTCTCTGTAAAGAGTTTCTCCTCTCCTTCTACTTAGTGTAGTATGTAGGTGTGAAGCCTTGGAACCACAGCAGCTACCTTACAGTCATGAGGGAGGGGCAGCATAAGAGTGAAGCTGACATGGTAGGAGACATGGATAGATGGAAGAGAGACCCTGACACCACTGAGCTGCTGAATCAAACCAGCCCTGAAACCCATATTATTCTTTATCATTTATGGAAGATTAAGCTAGATTTTGTTACTTGCAAACAAAAGCACTGCAACATGTGCACACGCGCACACACACGCAATACAAACTAATAAAGAACCTCTAAATATACAGAAAATTGATGATGCATTGGAAATTATTTTAAATTATACGTAAGCATCTTAACAAAAGCTAACCTATGCAAAAATGGATGGTGAATTTTACTAGGTAGAGAATGACACACCTTTACATTATCTTTAAAATGTAACCTTCCCAGGTCTGGACTTACCATGCCATGTTTTTTGTTGGAAACCCATTCTCCTTCATACATGGCTCCACTGGCATAGTAAAACTTCCCATGGCCGTGACGGGCCCCCTTTACAAACTCTCCTATGTATTCATTTCTCAAAGGATACTGGGAGTAGGGGATTCTCTTTAGAAACCATGTGTGTGTTCCAAAGCCATTCTGAAAAGAAAGCAAATCCCCATGAGACTTGCTTAGAATGTTTCCTCTGTTAACCTGAATCCACTTAAAATTACGTACAGATCAGACACAGGACTCATGTGAAGGGGCAAAGAGCCTGGACGCTGGAGTCACACAGACTTGGGTTCAGTCTCAGCTCGGCTACTTCCTAACCAGCCTTCTGACCTAAGGCTAATTAGGTGAGTAGAGCGTGTACTGAGCATACACGAGGCCCTGGGTTCAGTCCCCAGTACCTCCTTAAAAAAGATAATGTATATAAAGTGACTGGCTTAATATTGATTATTTTAATTATTATTTTAAATTTTATTTATTTTTAACATACAGATTGATAAAAATATCCCCTCCTCAATCCCACTTTCCAGAGGTAACCACTAGCTGGGTTTGAAAAACCACTGCTATTTTCCCCAGGCACAGTCATACTAAATCAACATATTATATGCAAACATAAATACATATATAATTTTTTGAACAATGGAATGCTCCTATATATATATATCATTCTATAACTTCTGAGTATATAGTGAAAAGAACAGAGCGCTGGAAATCAAATAAATATTTGTACACACATGTTCAGAGCAGCAGCATTTGCAATATCCAAAAGGTGGACGCAACCGAAGTGTCCACTGAGGAATAAATGGATAAACAAAATGTGGTCTGTCCATACAGTGGAATATTATTCAGCCTTAAAAAGGAAGGGAATTCTGACACCTGCAAAGGATGGATGTACCTTGAGGACATTATATTAAGTGAAAGAAGCCAGTCACGAAAGGCTAAATACTGTATGATTCCACTCTGATAAGGTACCTGGAGGAGTCAAATTCACAGAGACAGAAAGTAGAATGGTGGTTGCCAGGGGCCGAGGGAGACAGAAGTGGGGAGTTACTGTTCAATAGCTACAGAGTCTCAGTTTCGCAAAATGAAGAGTTCCTTGGATGGACGGTGGTGATGGCTGCCCAACAGCATGAATGTACTTAACACTGTACTGTCTACACTTAAAAATGGTTCAGACGGGATATGTATTTTACTACTATTAAAACTTAAAAGACAAGGAAGTGGACTGGCTATACTCATATCAGAAAAAGTAGACTTCAGAGGAATAAAAGTCATCAGGGTTAAAAGAGCATCATTATAAAATGATAAAAAGGGTGGCCAACTCACCAAGAAGGCATAACAATCCTAAAGGTGTATACACACACCAACAGAGCATCAAGGCAGATGGGGCAAAGACTGACAGATCTGAGAGGAGAAACAGACACGCCTACAGTCACATTCGGACGCGTCAGCACTCCTGTTGTCTCAGAAATGGGGAGAAAAAGTAGACAGAAAATGAGCAATGACGCAGAAAACCTGAGCAACACTACCAACCATCCTGACCTGCCCAGCATCTACAGAAAACTTCACTCAGCCAAAGCAGAAACACATGTGACGTTCACCAAGACAGACCAAGATGAACACCAACGTGTTGAAAAGAAATGCAATCAGACAGAGTATGTTCTCTGACCACAGTGGAATTAAACAAACAAAAAACAGAAACATATCTGGGAAAATGCCCAAATAGTTGGAAATTAAACAACATACTTCAAAATAATTTATTAGCAAAAGAGCAAGTCATGGGGAAATTAGAAAATATTTTGAAATGAACAAAAAATAAAACATAATATATAAAAATCAGTGGGATACAGACAAAGCAGTGCTAAGAGGAAAAACTGTAGTATTAAATGTTTACAATAGAAAAGAAGAATCATCTCAAATCGATACAGCATCAATTTAATTCTAGGAAAAGAGCAAATTAAACCCAAAGCATGCAGGAGGAAAGTAATAACAAAGAGCAAGTATCAACTGAATTGAAAACTGAGAAACATCAGAGAAAGTAAAACGTGAGAGGAGCTAAAACCAGCTGCACGGTACCTGGATGCCCCTATCCCACTGGCCGGTGTACTCTTCGTTGGTGGTCAGCCACCTCATCCTGCCCTCCCCGTGCCGCACGTTGTTTTCCCACTGTCCTTCATAGATGTTTCCAGATTTGTAACTAGGACCAACCCCCCCAAAAAACAATTAAGAACAGTTATCTCATATATAACATTTAATTGTTTTTTAAGATTTTGTTTTTGGGGCTGAGGTAACCAGGTTTGTTCTTTTCTTTTTTTAATGGAGGCACTGGGGATGGAACCCAGGACCTCGTGCACGCCAAGCGCACACTCTACCACTGAGCTTTACCCTCCCCCCAACAATGTTTACTTTTATTGGGACTTTCTTAACCTTTCTTCCTAAACACCTTTGAAGAATACCACCTTGCACCCACACGGCCTTCCTGGGGTTTCAGCTCCATGGGTAGGCCTGTGGTCAGTAAAAATGATCGTCCTAGGAGGCAGAGTAAGTCATTTTATTAAACCTTCTGATTATTTAATGAGGTGGCAAGGCAGATAAGAACAGGGTTTTTTAATCTTTTAAAAATAACTCCCTATAGCATTATGACTAGTTAAATATTTTCGCCCCCAAATATGTTAAGCCTTAAAATATAATGCTGTGTGCTCAATCTCAAATCAAGCCAGCATGTCAACATTCCTCAGAAAACGTACAATTAATGCGGGAGATCCGTGATTAATCCAGGGGACAAAGAGGCAGTTTCCACATGTAATAAAGTGAAACAGTAACGATTAGACATCATATTTAATATGGTGTTTTTCTAAATTTTCTGCAGAATATTTCATCACTGTGCAGATTATACTGGGGCTAATGTAAATACCCACCCTGCTTATATAGAAAATGTGTTCTCTGTAAGTCCTGCCCCTTATGTCTAAATAGCCTAAGTGAAAATTACCTGGGCCCACAAACTCTTTTCACCAACACCCCAAACACGGCAGCGGTGATACCTACCATCTAACCCCCCAGCCCTGTTTGATGTTGTACACCCAGTCGCCCTCGTACCAGGAGGTGCCGTCTTGGTTGTAATAAATGGAGCCCTAGAACAAAGAATATCATTTTATAAAAACCAAGCCTCAAAAAGCAAATTTTTTTAAGGTAAAGATAAAAATGTACAAATTTAAGGAGCGAGCCTAAATGAAACAGAAGTCAGTGTCATACTTAGGCAAGACAGATAGTCCATATTATGTTTCTGTTTTGTGATCAAGAATATGGTAAATTGAGCAACCTAACTGACCAATGACAGATGATGATAAAGAAGATATGCGTGTACACACACACACACACACACACACACACACACACACACACACACACGTGGAATATTACTCAGCCATGAAAAAGAATGAAATAATGCCATCTGCAACAACATGGGTGGACTTAGAGATCATCATACAAAGTGAAATCAGAGAGAAAGGCAAATATCATATGATCTCACTTATATGTGGAATCTTTTTTAAAAATGGTACAAATGAACTTATTTACAAAAGAGAAAGAGACTCACAGACATAGGAAACAAACATGATTACCAGGGGGAACAGAGGGAGAGATATATTAGGAATTTGGGATTAGCAGACACAGACTACAGTATATAAAATAAACAAGGTCCTAACGTAAAGCACAGGGAGCAATATTCAGTATCTTGTAATAAATTATCATGAAAAAGAATCCTAAAAAGAATACATATATATATATATACGTATATATATGTGTGTGTATACGTATATATATGTGTATATATATATATATAACTGAGTCATTTTTCTGTACATCAGAAGCTAACACAACATTGCAAATCAACTCTACTTCAATTTTAAAAAATGGTAAGGTGCCCACCAAGCAAGAATGAGATGTTACAAATCAATTAATCCTTAAGAACAAAGTATCACATGAAGGCATGAAATGACTACAGCCATTATATTCAGTATATTCATTATATTCAGTAACCAGAAGTTAAATAAATACCTAAAGAAATCCTGTTTTGTTGTCACCTAAAGGTGACTGAAGGCACCTCTCTTTTGTGTACCAAAACCGTTTTACTTATTTTACTGTCCCTGAGCGTAAGTGAACATGGCACTTTGATGACTCCTTTCAGGGCGTGGTACCAGCCACTGTGCAAGGTATTCAGATCTACACTGAATGCCCTCAGATTGCTTGTTTATTCACTGGCTTATGTCTGTGTGTGTGTGCGTGTTTGTGTGTGATTCTTCTATCTTCTTCCTCATTATCAAACTAATCTGTTCCTCCCTACAACCACCCTGGTGCCTCCATCTAGACGTTACCATCCCCCACCCCACCAACATGTCAGAACTGATCTGCTACAGGCTAAAAACACAGAATCCAAGGGAACTGTCTAAATCTGAGTAAAGTGACCATTATAATGACAGACTTTTTCTTTTCTTATGACATTTTCTATGAACACTGCTCCAGTATTTTATCATCCTATGCAAAAGTGAGACAGTACCCAAAACGACAACCTTGCTTATAAGTGGCTATAACCTACATTTGCTGGTGAGAATGTAAAACGGTGCAGCCACCATGGAAAACAGTTGGGTGGCTCCTCAAAATGTTAAACGTTGAGTTACCGTAAGACCCAACAACTCCATTCCTAGGTGTATACCCAGAAGAACTGAAAATAGGTACTCAAATCTTTTCACTCATAGTCACAGCAGCATTACTGACAGTAGCCAAAAGAGGGAAACATCCAATGAATAAGTGGATAAACAAAATGTGGTACATCCATACTGTGGAATATTATTTAGCCATAAAAAAGAATGAACTACCTACAGCACAGATGAACCTCAAAAGGATGATCCTCAGTGAAAGAAGCCAGACACAAAAGGTCACATATTGTATGATTCCATTTACATAAGACGTCCAGAATAGGTGAACCCATAGGGACATAAAGTAGGTCAGTGGTTTCCTGGAGCTGGGAAGGGAGTGGGGAAAAACTGCCTAACGGGTGTGGGGTTTTGTTTTGGAGTCAGGAAAATGTTTAGGGATGAGACAGAGGTGGAAGCTGCACAATATGGTGAATGTACTAAATGCCACTGAATTGTTCATTCCAAAATGGTTAATTTCACGTGACGTGAAGTTCACCTCAGTAAACAAAAAGTGAGCAGACCTTTAACAGCCCCACTACTTCCCGCCCTCCGTGTCTGCACATTCTATTCACAGATGGGGGCCACGTGGCTGCCTCACCCACCTTCCCATGTCTCTTGCCGTGGCACTGGTGGCCGATGTAGGACACGGGCTGAGTGCCGCACTTGAATATGCCAAACCCGTTCCTCATGCTGTTGAGCACTTCTCCTTCGTAGGTGCTGCCGTCCAGCCACGTGTAGATGCCATGGTTCATGGGGAGGTTCTTCACAAAGTCCCCCTGGGGCAAAAATGCCATCAGAGTGGCGGGAAGAAAGCAGTAAGGAGAGCCCTCACCTGTGAGCGTCCTTGACTGCAAACATCACTCCAACCTCTCTTCCCATGAAAACAGGTGGATAGCTCACCTGCCTCCCCAGCTTCCACCTCCTCCTCCCTTCTCTACACGCCCATCCTCCCTCGCCTGATCTGCCACCGGACAGAAGCCCAGGTGGAATAAACTAACAGGAAACCTGTGTGCAGACCAAGATCCAAGAAGCTAGCAGGTGACATGGTGCAGTGGTGGCTTCCAAGCCTCACCATGGGAGCTTTAGATTCTGGAACGTACCTTGAGGAGGCTAATTCACTGGCCCCATAAACCCTCTTGACTGGGCTGGTGGCAGGGGGGCCAGGGGTGTGGGTAGGGGTCTGTGTCTGCAAGAATGAGCCCCACCTGACTTCCAGAGATGTGAACCAGAGGCCCAGGCCAGGAGGCGGGTGTCTGGAGGGAAGGGAGTTTCCCGGCAGAGGCTGCCCTGAAACCATGGTTGGGACCCAGTCCTCCAGCTCCCCTGGGCTTCAGACCTTCTCTCTGCTCCGTGACAGTGAAGGTGGACCCTCCCCTCGCTCTCCCTCCACCTCGTCTCCCACTACCTAGGCCAGTTAGGCATCCTCTTGGCCCAGACTTGCCTGTTTCCCTCACCTGGCTGTTATTTGAATATGTGCTTTCTGTGCCTCTGTTTTAAATACCTTCATTACAACTTACAAACACCATCACATAAGCAGCTCTACAACTGCAACTTTCAGAACAGTGTTTCAGGCACACACGCTGTGGGTAGGGGTTGAAACCGGTGCCCATTCTGGGAGGCACTGATTTAAAAATATATATTCCCTTGAACCCAACAAGACAGGCTAAGTGAAACCCACACAATGGAACACAAGCAGCCCGTAAAAATAGGCACATCTGGCTGAATGGACAGTATTTCAGCTCTAGGAAATAAAAGTGCAGAAGAGAGCGTGTAACAAACCATTTGTTGTAAAAAAAAAAAATGGGAGAGACTAAACATATGCACATATGCTGGCCATGCCCAGAGCACACAGAACGCCTCTAGAACATCCAGACCAAACTGGTGACAATTTAGAGGGTCCCGTGCAGTAACGAGTTCCTTTGGTTTTGTGCCTTTCTTTTAACCCATATGCTGAGCTACTTTTATGAAACTAGTGTGTTTAACTGGGGGAACCTGACCATTAAATCTCATACTTAATAAATGCTGGAGAGGTGTGGAGAAAAGGGAACCCTCCTACACTGCTGCTGGGAATGTAGTTTGGTGCAGCCATTATGGAAAACAGTAGGAAGAGTCCTCAAAAGACTAAAAATAGACTTAACCATATGATCCAGCAATCCCACTCTGGCCATACATCTGGAGGGAACTCTAATTCAAAAAGACACCTGCACCCCCAATGTTCACAGCAGCTCTATTTACAGTAGCCAAGACATGGAAACCACCTAAATGTCCATCAACAGATGACTGGATAAAGAAGTTGTGGTATATTTATAGAATGGAATACTATTCAGCCATTAAAAAGGGGGAAATAATGCCATTTGCAGCAACATGGATGGACCTGAAGATCGTCATTCTGGGAAAAAAAAAACAAACTTCATACTTAGGAGTATAATGCATTATATGCTTTACCTCATATTTCAGTCCATCGGCCCAGACATAAGTCCCTTGTCCATGCAGGAGTCCTTCTGAAAACATACCCTTCAAAACAGAACAACAACAAACCCTTAGGCTCGATCTTGATTTTATACAACTGCCGCCCATGGACTCCACTTAGAACAGAGACACGTTCACCAGAAATTAACACAACATTGTAAACCGACTGCACTTGAATTAACAAAAATAAAGAACGGGGCCACATTCCACAGATCTGCTCACCTAGTGTTCAGCTTGGAGCTGGCCCGCACTGGCGTCCATCTGTTCTAAAAAGGATCCAAGGAGGAGTCCCCCAAAAACCCAATTCCCTACAGTTTATACCAGGCAGCGCTGTGCAGCTGTGACACGGAGCTGTAAATTCAGGCTTCCTCTGCCAACTAAGCTATTGGAAAATTCTATAGTTCAAAAGAACATCATATGCTTCAGGCTTTGTGTTCCAAAGTTTAAGGGTTTTGGAAAATTATTTAGACTAGACAGGCCTGGTTAAAACCATTATGTGGATATCAGAAAGGATGACATTTGTGAACTTTACACTTCGTTTTCCTTACTGGGAATTAGCGGTGCGTGTGTGTGCACATTCACATATACGTGTATGTACACAATATACAGTTGTCAGTGTTGTTCATTATGGAGTGTCTACTGTTTTTGTATGTGAATTAGTTGTTAAAAACTTGACATAGCTACACGTCTAAATGCAACCAGAGGAAACAAGGATAGAATTACATCCAGTTCTTTTTCAAAATCACCTTGTTAGAGGAGGTGGGGTCAAGGCTTGGCAGCTGGGGAGAATCGAGAATCGAGAATCGATGTCAACAGTGCACTAAGTCAGTGATTCTCAAACCCTACAATGCATTAGAGTCGGGTGGGGGGCGGTGAAAACACTGCTCAGCCCACTTCCCACCATGGAGATTCTGATTCACCAGATCTGAGCTGGGACCTGAGAATTTGCAGTTTGAAAAAATTCCCAGGTGCTGCTGCTTGTCCCTGGGAACCCGCTTTGCTAACCACCACCCTAACCTCAGGAGCAAGAAGACCATTAGAGCATCTACCCTGGTTCACGTGGGCGCACGTCAGGCCGGGCTGGTGCTCGGGAACTGGGGGGAAGCCACGATTTTGCGGATGCAGGCTGCGGCTCTTGGCTGGACTGGGGAATCAACTGTGGTCGTGATGAGCAGCATTTTTAACAAACTAGAACGCAAAGGATGGCACCCATCCACGTGGGGAGGGTAAGTGCTTTGTGACAGGCTTGTTTGGATGGTCTCTCTTTAGGAGGTTGTGATGTGAACGTGTGACAGACCACAGCTGACCCATGTGGGGCACGGGCCTACTGTTGGTTCCCCCTCCCCTACAGTTTAAAGGAGATGGGGGCGGGGCGGGTGTAGCTCTGTGGTAGAGCCTGTGCTGAGCATGTGAGGTCCTGGGTTCAATCCCCGGTGCCTCCTCTAAAATAAACAAACAAACAAACAAACAAACATAATTATTCCTCCCCCCAAAATAAAAAAATTAAAAAGGAGATCGAGCTAATTGATTGTTCTTTAATCAAAACAACTGGAGGGTAGGGGAGTTTACAGAGCAAGCTGCTGGCAGTGAGGGAGGGGCTCCTCTAGAAACAGAGGGATGTTTGCTCCCCATCAGGGGGAGGGGTGAGGCCAGACTCGAGCTACCGGGTAACTGCGAACCTGAGGGGATCCAGCCAAGCACCCAGACGAGGCTGTCATCACGTCCTCAACCGACCAGGAGGGGTTAACCCCGTGGGAACAAGCACTAGGTACCTCGGCATTACATACACATCGGTGCCTCCCAGGAGCACGATCGATCGTGATGAAAGAAGACTCCAGTCAGGATAAAGAAACACTATGAATGCCGAAACCAGCAGAGGCCAGACGGTACAGTCATTTTTATATTATTCAGCCGTGATTGATGGTGTTTTTAAGAGTTTTTACGACACGGGAAAATGAACACGTTGTAGGTTAAAGGGAAAACCTGGGGCACTGAAACCTCTGCCTTTTAACCTCAACTACGAAAATATGTTCTCCTACAATAAGCACATATTTCTTTGATAATCTGAACAAATGGATGGATGGATGGATGGATGCGTCCACTGTGATATTATTGATAAGGGCAAAAAATGAAAACACACCAAAAGTATCTAACAATCAGGGTACAGTTCTGAATGGTAAATTAAAACACCATGTGATATTTAAAATAGTAATTATGGAGGAGGGGATGGGGAGTTAGTGTTTAATGGGGACAGAGTCTGGGATGATGAGGAAGTTCTGGAGATGGACGGTGGCGATGGTTGTACAACAATGTGAATGTACTTAAAGCTACTGACCTTTCACTTAAAAACGGTCTATTTAATGTGTATTTTACCAAACAAAAAAAACTCTTTTAAGTTATAAAAACCAGGCATCAATACAGCAATGCGTTCCTGAGGGAAAAAAGATTCAAGACATGACCCACACAATTACTATGCCCAGGTAACAACACTGCTACATCCATTCAAGGAATAAAAGGGACACAGCAAACTGAAAACACTTATGGCAAAAGGATGATGATACTGGGATTTTACCATTTGTTATTTACTTCACTGACGTTAATGTGGTTTGTACAATAAAACTTGGGAAAAGGTAAAAAAAAAAAAGGTAAAATGACCACTTCAGTTGTACCAAGTTATGTTTTAACAGTAAAATGTGTACTCTCGGCCCAAAATAAAATCATCATTAAGTACTTCCAATTTCTTTTGAAGAATCAATGGGCTTTACCCCACACAGTCGTCCCCTCCAGCCCCCAAACGTGTAACTCACGTGGTAGGTACCGCCTCCTTGAAAGACGGCAAAGCCTTCCCCCTCGTACCGTCCGTGGACTTTTCCCCCTTCATAGCTGCAACAAAATAAATGAAACGTAGCACAGGGAACTACATTCAATTTCTTGTAATAACCTATAATGAAAAAGAATCTGAAAATGTATGTATATTTAGATATATAACTGAATCAGTCTGCTGTACACTTGAAACTAACACAACATTGTAAATCAACTATCCTTCAATGTTTAAAAATTCTAATGTTACAATATGAGGAAACTACTTAAACATAATAGACCATTCACGGAAAAAAAAATACCTTATATGATTTTTAAGAATGAAATATTGAAGTTAATTCCGTTAAAATCAGGAGCATGATGGGATTCCTGCTTTGACCACCAAATATTCAATAGTGTTTTAGTGCTTCTAATTCATGCAGAAGGTCAAGAAACAAATAATTGATGTGTAAATATTGAAGAGTTAGGAAATTATTTTAATTTAAAGATTAGGTGATTATTTACCCATAAAACCCAAAAAGACTTTATTCAAATTAATGTGTGGTGGTGGTAAGCTGTGAGAGGGAGGTGATTCACTCTTAAGATAACTTTGCATTATCTCATTCATCAGAATGAATACACAGCATTTCAGTAATTAAAAACAATGAATAACGAAAATGCAAAAGATTCTTTTTTTTTTGGTAGGGGGAAGTAATTAGGTTTAGTTATCTATTTATCTTAAGGGAGGGACCGGGGATTGAACCCAGGACCTCATGCATGCTAAGCATGTGCTCTACCACTGAGCTATACCCTCCCTGCTAAGAAAATGTAAAGGATTCTTAAAAAGAATTCACAATAGCTCAATGCAGTGCTGTCAGCGACGGCCCCCCTCACCCCCAAAACATGCATACACGTTTCCTGGATCCTGACCTGCTCTGAGTCCCTCTTGTGTCAGGGCAACTGCAGGTCCCACCTTTCCTGAACACATTCAGAGCAGATGCTGACACTCTGCTGAACGTCCCTAAAAACAGCACAACGTGGGTCATGGTCAGGCACGGCCTATTCCAACCATATTTCACACTTCCCCAGATACTGCTGTAATGCTCGACCCAGAGCTGGCACACAGCACCTCATTCATAAACAGTCGCGGACATCATTCAAGCTCTAAATCTGGATGGAGCACCTGCAGGGCCTCAGGTCTGCTGTTTGAACCTCTGGGTGTCTCTGCTCCCAAGGAAGTTTCAGCCTGGCAGAGAAGCTGGGACTTGTGAACAAATCATAGTAATTCATACAGAATACAGATGTAATACATACTACGTATATAGTAACACATAACAGAAAGTGATAAGGATGATAAAAAAAGTTTCAAGGAAAGTTACTTCTTTCTGGGAAGAATTACAGGAAAAGAGTGGGTGGGATCTGGTCAATCAGAAACGAGGGACAGGGCAGAGTACAGCTCAGTGGCAGAGCGCATGTTTAGCATCCACAAGGTCCTGGGTTGAATCTCCAGTACCTCCTCTAAAAATAAACCTAATTACCTTCCTCCACCATGAAAATAAGGTAATTAAATAATACAATAATAAATAAATAAAATATTTTTTAAAAAAAGAAATTGAGGCTCAGAAAGGTTCGGCAATGGGGTTAATGTCACACAGCTAAGACACAAATCCAGATAACTGCACTTCAAGTCCCGCAGTCATGGCTTTGGGACACAGGGAGTTTGAAGTTCAGTAGATGATGTCCAGGAGGGAGATAAAAATTTGAACCTAAAACTCTAGGAGAGAGAACAGTGCTGAAGTCATAGATTTTCACAGTCACCTAGGGAGACAGAGGTAAAGCTACAATGTGAGATGACTGACAGAGGGGACGGAGAGCATGAAAGTGGTAGAACAGGGAGATGCAGCTCATTAAAATCGCCTTTTAGGGGTGGGGATACAGCTCAGTGCTAGAGCGCATGCTTAGCACGCACAAGGTCTTGGGGTCAATCTCCAGTACCTCCATTTAAAAAAAAAGAGTAAAAAAATTTTTTTAATAAAAATCACCTTTCTACCATGAGTTTGGTCAGAGTGGGCTCTTCATACTGGGTGGTATGTTCATTCTGCGGATTTTCATTTACGGACTCTCTCTTGAGCCCCGGTTCCTTGAGCTGCACATCCAGGGGTGGTGAAGCACCTGGGGGCATATCTTGACTCACAGAGTTGCCATCTTGTTTGGAAAACGCTGGGTAATTGGACACAGACAAGGGAGAGCGGGCAGACTTATCCCCTTTTTTGTCTGCTCTTTTCTTTTCCTTCACCATGGTTTTTAGAAGACCTCTGTTTTACTTTACATGTATATGAATCAAATGACTCCTTCGGTTGAAAGCTGTTTGTTTCAAGACGTCAATGAGTTTTATCTGAAAAACAAAAACTACATCTCTAAAATACTTAAGGGTTTCAGTCATAGTTACAATTCTAGTTTTACAACCCCAATGTCATTATTGTTCTCCTAAAGCCGGAAGAATGAATTACAAGTATCAAATATCATCAGCTTAAAATAATACAATTTTAATACTGCATTGGCTATTTCCTAAAAATTTTTTTTTCTAACTTAGAACCACTGTCTACCATTTCTTTTCAAATAGTGTTCCACAAAGAATAGTAATCCTGGGCATGAAAAATAGCCACTTAACCTCTGAAGTCTTATATGCCTCCAGTTCATACTTTAGAAGCGGGTCTCTTCACACAACAGTGTTGCTAGGTGCTCAGGAGCTGAATTTGGGCTCCTGAACTGCCCATTCCCTGCTGTAACTTGATGTCCTTTGGTTTCTGATGTCGAATAGGAATAACAGTCCCTTGTCCGGTTATAAGGATTACTGGAGATGATACACCAAACCCCTAAGTATGAGGCAGGGAGCACACCTGATAACAGTGATTATTCGGTCACTTTCCTGTTTTTCAACTTGAAGTCATCCTAGAACAGGACTACCATTGATTTAGTGACTCTTACGTCAAACAAGAAACCTTGTGCTAATTATTTGCTCAAGGTCACAGAGCTGACAGGCAGGGCTCCAAAGCCCTAGTTTTCGTGGCCCTCCAAAACTGGCCCCACTGAAGACATGCCAGCCCATCAAGCAGGACGCACAGGTGAATCCTGGACTGCAAGGTCCACCTGCACGTCCCCAAGGGGTGCATTGGATGCCTCCTCTGTCTGGATGGCATCCTCTGGACACCCCGCGCGTCCGCTTGACCCCTCCTCTAGACTTTGCTCTTATCAACATGGTCCTGCTTCTGCCTTCAAAACCCCATTACTCTTTGCGGCCCTGCACCCCCACCCCACGACTGAAAGCGAAGCAAGCTGCTCTCGCTTCTAAACTCTCGTGACTACAGGCTCTCTGGTCCTCCATCAGCGACGTCTGAGCTGCTAATAAAGCAAATTTCGTCCTCCTGGCGTGTTTCCTAGTGACTTTTATATAGCTTCTGTTCTCCCCGGCTTGAGACTGTATTACTGACCGTTTACAGCACAAAAAGAGGGCGCATTCTCTGAGCCCAGAGCTCCCGCTGGGTCATGCCCCTTCCCGGGGCCCTCCCCGTCCACGGCGCACCGGTTCGGGTCCTAGGAGGCCGCGCCGCTCGGGGAGGAGGACCCGGCCCAAACCGTCACGTCCGCCGTGGCGCACGCAGGGCCACCAGCCTGGGACCACGGGACCCCGGGACCCAACACGGCGCTCACCTCGCTCGGGACGCCGCGCGCTCGGCCAGGCCGGACGGAGACGGTGCGGGGCAGCGCGGCGTCGCGACCGGCCGGTCTCCAGGCAACCACACCACCCACACTGCCCCGCTCTTAAAGGGGCCGCCGCACGTGCCCTGCCCTGCTGACCCATTCCGGCAGGTAGAAATGTGGAGTTGGATGCACCTGACCTGGATTCTCCAAGCTCTGCTAATTGCCGAGCGGCCTCTCTCAGCCTCCTCACGGTAACACAGGCATAATTCAGGCGTTCAGTTTTCCATTGCTGTAGTAAGTTACCCCAAACTTAGTGGCTTAAAGCAACACAAAGTTATCATCTCATAGTTCCACAAATTAGGACCGGTTCCTCTGGCTGCTCCAGGTATCTATTCCCTTGTTTTGCCCCGTTTCTAGAGGCCACCTTCCTCCAATTTTGAAATCAGCAAGTTCATCTCTCCAGTCCAGCTGGGTAAAGTTCTCCACCTTTAAGAAGTCGTGGCCTAGACTGAGCCCACCCAGCCAATCCAGGATACGTGACCCATTTCGTGACCTTTCCCTTAGTCACACCTGCAGAGCCCTTTTGGCCTCGTGTAGGGCACATACTCAAGGGTTCTGGGGGTGGGGGGAGGGGCTGCCAACCCCAAAGCCCAATTTGCAGAGTTTTTGCAAATATTAAATGAGATCCTGCACAGGTCCACCAGCACAGAGCTTGACACAAATGGCAATCATTCCTTGACTGTCTCCTTGTAATCAAGGAACTCTAAGTTTGCAAATGGAAGCCCACTATCTGGGCAGTGGTCGAGAGCACGGTGGGGTGGGAAGTCCACACAGCCAACTGTACCCCCACTGCCGTTTGGACATCCAGAGGGCATTTTTACTTCCACTCCTGGCAGAGTTCAAATGGGACAGAATTCCTTGAAAAAACCACTTGACAACACACAGGGATTCTTCAATCTCTGGGCCCATTCAGTAACTAGACCATCTTGCACTTCACACCCCAAGGATACCCAAACACAGTGTCAAAGTTACAGAAAAAAATCACAATCTTTTATTTCCCCTGGCCTACAACAGTCTTTGCCCCTCTGGATGCAGTGGAGAGCATTTAAAAATAGGAACCCCACCCGACCTGGTCAATTTCTTCCAGATGAACAGAGAATCCCCTTGGGTTTGGGGGAATTTCTTTTTAAATTTAGTATGTATCAGGGTTGAGAAGCACTAACTCAAAAGGACCGTAATTTTTAATTTATGAAGTTAAACCATTACAAATTTAAACATCACTAAGGGCTGAAAGTTGCAGACTAAAATACGTCTGGCCAGAGTAGAGGTCCTGCTGACTTCCAAAGTGCTCTATTTTGTAAAATGTTATAAGCAATGCTCCACATGGTTTGAAAAGTTCTCAAGGTCATTTCTAAATGGATCTACTTTTTTTTTTTTTTAAGCAGCAGGCTCATTTGGAAACAAACAAACAGGAAAAGGTTAAGACCCTGCCTTTTAAAACAGAAAAGTCCGCAGTAAGATTAATAGCTGTATAAAACAAGAAACGTCAGTTTTGAGAAATGACATCCAGGTTGGCAATGTGTCTCATGGTTGGCCTTCCATGGGGACAGTTCCAGGGATGGTCCATCTCACCCATGTGGGTGATGAGTTTCTTCATCTCACTTGTGTTAAGAGCAGTTCCAATCATCACCTGAATATGAGACACAACAGTTTAAAGTTTTACTGTTTTTGTTTATTTAGAACATCAACCATTCACAAGCACTTTTCTCTACAACCAGGCTGGACAAGGTTCCAACTCAAAAACAATGAAAAGTCTGCCCCCAAAGAACCCTGTCCTCCAGTATCTCAGCCTTCTGCCTCTTTGGGAAATCCAGCCCCTCCCACCCTGCTCCCCACACACCCTCCATAGAGACGCTGAACAGACCCATCTAAACCAACCAGCCCCAGCAGCTCCACCACGACCTACATCCCAGCCACCCTGACCTCTCTCCTTGGAGACTGCAGCAGCCTCCAAACAGGCCTCCCTGCCTCCCCTTTCCTGTCAACCATTCTCCACTCAGTGGCCAGTGATTCCTTTGAAAGGTATGACGGATCACGTGACTCCTCTTCGCACCCTCTGCTCTCACCTGAGTAAAAGCCCAAGTGCATCACCTGATTCGAGGCCTGGCTGGCCTTCGTGCCCACACCTGCAAGCGGGCATCCCTCCCCCGACCCGCCCTGACTCCAGCCGCACCCGCACCATAAAGCAAGTCCCTGCCTCAGGACCTTGGTACTGGCTATACCCTCTACCCAGGATACTCCCCCTCTCCCTGCAGGTGCTGCTGACATGTCCCTGCCTCCTCTCCAGGAAACAGCTCTCACTGTGTCCCTCTGCAGGTCTCGCCCTGCTCCTCTCCACGGCACAATCACTGTCTAACAACGGCATGGAGATGCGCAGACTACGCAGCAAACACAGAAAGTGAGACCCTGAGATACAAGGGGAACTGGGGACCAGTCTGAGCCTCCCTGTACCCCTCCTTCCACACGCCAGGCACACCCCAGACCAGGATTGACAGCAGAGCTCTGCCAGGGCAAGGAAGACAGACAAGGTAGCAGAGAACCCAGGCAAGTATTGCCCCGGCGCTGTGCCCGAGGCACGTGTGTGAGGCCGGACATAATGGCAGACGGGCAGCAACCAGAGGGCTTGAGGCAGGAAGGTGTCCAGAGTGGCTAGAGCTGAGCATAGGACCTGGGGCTGGAAGGACAGGCCAGGCTTGGGATGTGGGGCTCCCATGCAGGGTGCAGGTGCAGCAGAGGGAAGCCCGCCCCCATCAGCACGTTTGTGTGCTGAGCGAGGCAGAGCCGGGACCTCCCAGCGTGGGGAGTGAAGAGGCAGCCTGTGGCTCTGAAGATCTTTGAGTCACATCAGCATTTTAAGGGGGGGAGGGTACAGCTCAGTGGTAGAGCACGTGCTTATGACGCACGAGGTCCGGGGTCCGATTCCCAGCACCTCTGTTAAAATAAATAAGTAAGTAAATAAAAACCTCATTACCTGACCTCCCCTTTAAAAGAGAAAAAACCACAAGACGCAGCATTTTGAACACCTGGCTACTAGCACAGACTGGTCACAGCTCTAATTCTCACTCACACCTAAACCTCCCCACCCCTCACCTGCAACGACACGTCCCCTCGGCCCTAGAGTCACTGACGTGACTGTGTTCAGGCACCTCCACTCACATCTAATAAGATCTCAAATACATGGTGTCTAAAAGAGAACGCTTGCTTAATCCCACCCTCCCCCAGGGTAAATAAGCCGCCGCATTTCCCCACCCACCTCACTTCTGTTGTGACACCCCATCTACGGTCTGTCTGCCACAAGGACCCTCCCGCGCCTCCCGACCCGCAGCACAAACACCCAGCCGCTGACCAGGACCACAAAGATCCTGAGTGAGCCCCCAGAAGCTGGTCTGCCCTCACTCAGGTCCCTCCCCAGTCACACAGGGTCAGCCTCCGGCTTCACCTCCAACCTGTGCCCTTGTTAGATGGTCTTCTATCTGGAAAGTTCTTACCCAAGAGGCTCCAGCTCACCTTCCAAGCATCAGCTCAGAGGTCACCTGCTCAGACCGCCTCTCTCTGACCACCACCCTCACTTCCTGGCACTCACTCCCGCTCCCCGTCCTGTTTTCTTTACTGAAATCACGGGTATCAGAGGGGGTCCTTATTCCTGTCGACATCCATTTCTCCCACTCAACTCTAAGCTCCACGAGGGCAAGGACCCCGTTGGCCGTGCTCCGTGTCCCCAGCACCCAGACCAGGGCGGCCACACGGTGAGGACTCAGAGTCTTTGCTGAATAAACAAGTAAGTGGGTCAGGGATACTGACTCCTCCGCCTTGAGCAGGCCCATCCCCAACACCTGCTGTCCTTTCCCAGGACCAGTCTGAGCCGCCACAGCGAGACAGCAGGAAGCACCCGCTGGTGGTCCCCGGGGAAGTGCCTGCTGACTGCAGGGCTCCGGGCAATCTTGTGGTCCAGGGCCACCACCGCCACATCTAATGCGCTGACGGGGCAAGAGCTGGGCTGAGATCTCCCGCAGCAGAGGCGCCAGGCTCCTCTAGGTGAGCCTTCTCTACTTACAGACTTCCGACAGGCTCTGGAGGCAAACATCTGTCTGACTCGGGAAGGCCGGCACATGACACCGGGGCTGTCACTCAGCATGAAGATCAGCTCATCTATGTCCTGGGGTCCAAAGGTCCAGTTTTTACTGGTTGGTAAGGAAATCAGTTTAGCCCTTTCAGTGACTGGAGCTGAAAGAAGAAAATTTGGAGAGAAAGCCGTGATGCGAGCCACGCACTTCATCTGAGGGCCACTCACAGAGCATCGAGGGGGCAGATGCAAAACGCTCTTTGGGGAAGTATTTTCACCTTGTATAAAATACATCAGTCTAGGGGCTGGGGCAGAGCTCAGTGCAGAGCCCGTGCTTGGCGCTCCCAAGGTCCTGGGTTCAACCCCCAGGACCTCCATTAAAAACAAAACAAAACAAAACAAAAAACCATCCATTGACAGGACTTGCAAAGATAGTTCCCAGCCCTAAAAGGACACGGTGCTACAGTCCTAAGAAATAACATACCGTCTTCATCGATGACAAAGTCAAAGCCATTCTTTCTGAATATTTCCAGATTTTCTAATAGAACTGATTCATTGACAGCAGTTAAGTTGAGAGTCTGAGGTCTGAAAAACAGGGAAGAGACTCCAACTAGAGTCTGAAGCCAAACGTTTAGCTCTAAAGCAGAAATGAAACTACAACACAATACTGTGATGCTCTGAATTCATTTCAAAAAGCAACACAAACCACGTGTTCAGCTGTGAGCCTTTCCCATCACAGAATGCTGAGTGTTTCCTTTCATTTTCTTTCCTTTCTTTAAAAATTTTTTGTATATGTTAAAGTAACTACAAGAGTCATTCGCTTTTCCTCAATCTGCCGTCCCACCCCACTGACTCCACCTTGTTTTTAAATCCTCTCCTGAAAGAAAACGATGTCACATAAACATGCTATTTTTCCTCCTCACAATAAAGACAATTTGAAAAGTTGGCTCAGGCCATCATAGGCATTTG